CATCAGATGCATCAAGAACAAAAAATCTTTACACAATCTTAAATATTCACTTTGAAGTGGGAGACATTATGACCATGTTTAAACTGAAATCACCATATAAACACCATCTTTTCGGCAAACCAGCTATCTCCAAATCTCGGGCATTTGCTATTTGTTTTTCTTAACTTAGGGTTTGATTTGCCTTTAGTACAGGATTCTTCCTCAGAAATATAGCACATTCTGAGAATTTCTTTAGAGATGGGAAACATTTTGGCTTCTCTCCAAAACAGCTCAAAAGGAATGAGCATGATTGGTGTCACAGATTTGGAAGTGAGGACAAAATAAAGGGACCTTTAGCTGTTTGAATATAGTAGCAGGAATTTCTTACTGCATTCAGTGATGGTGATCTCCAAGGATAACCTTTCATTCCTATCTTATAAGTGAATGGATAGATCTGAGTGAAAATAATTGTACTTAGAAACACTGCTACCATATCTACTATGCAAAGAGTAAAGAACCCAACCTAGAAATAAGGAGAAATTTTCTGACAGTGAGAACAATCCACCATTGTAACAGATTGCCTTCAGAAGTTGTGGGAGCTTCATCACTGGAAGCTTTCAAGAAGAGACTGGACTGCCATCTGTGAGAAATGGTGTAGGGTCTCCTACTTGGGCAAGGGTTGGACTAGATGAGCTACTACGTCCCTTCCAACTATTCTATTCTATTCTATTCTATTCTATTCTATTCTATTCTATTCTATTCTATTCTATAGTCCATCCATGGCAATCAAAAAGAAAAGAGAATCACAAGGTTTTTTTCTAATTCCTCATTTTTTATATTTATTTATAAAACAATAATAAAATCCAAAGGGTTCACTTGGGTTTCCTGTATCCATAGAGGATTTTTCAATGGTTTCATTTTATACTATCAAAAAACAATTGATAAATATATCCAGAAAATTTCAGGCTGGTCATCTAAATGGTTGTTGTGTAGTTATGTGATGGTAAACAAGCATCGTTATAGACATAAAAATATAGAACAAAAATATATTGCCTGAAGCCAAGGGCCATACAGTACATAGTTCCAGGCAAGCCTTGGGCTCAAGGTCTAAAACTTGTAAAATTCTAAAAAAGTTCTAAAATGTGCTGCAATTGCAATTTTTATTGTGATTGCAGGGTTTATATAAAATAAATAATTTGAATTAAATGCTATGATAAATACTCTGATAATTAAATCATATCAGCTGCATTTAAATTGATGTAACTTTACTTTCATTAAAATTAAATTATATTTTGTGCCAGACCATTTCCAATTCTGGCAGAGGTTGCAAAAGACAAGCATATGGTAGAAGAACTGATCAGTATTTTGATGGGATGGAAAAATCTAGATTGTAGTCAGTGGTGGGATTCAAACATGTGAACAACCAGTTCTTTGTATGGATGCCGCTTCTGGAAGTCCGTTCTGGGCTTGGGCAACAAAAAATTAGCTACCAGTTCTACCGAACTGGTGCAAACTGGCTGAATCCCACCACTGATTGTAGTTTATATTGGGATGTTAAAAAAAATCCTAGAAAAAGGTAATGGAAAACCATTTTGTTCTGATGCCAAATAAGCAATAGGGATGTGTCCATTCTATCATCAGGAGTTCTGCTTGAGCAGAAAGAGAGAGTATCTTACCTTTCATATTTGCATAATCCTCTTCTTTGTTCTGAAACTATCCCTCAGCCTGTCACTCAGATTTTTGCTTGACTTTGGGCCAATCACCAGGGAAACTGACAGTTCTACTCCCACCTCTGGCATAAAAAAAAAATCAGCTGTGACTTTGGGGCAGTCACACTCTCACAGCCCAATCCACTACACAGGGTTGCAGGGTTGATGTTGTGAGGAAAATAGGAAAGACTATTATGTATGTTCAACATCTTGATTTACTGTACTTGAAAAGTAATAAAAGTGGGATTAATTTTTTAATAAAAATATACAAATGTCTTGGTGATGTCCTGTTGAAAGAACCAACATCATTCCTACACAGTTAAGTCTTGTCTTTCTAATTTTTTATAATTATTTGACCACACGTTATACACAGGGGAGGTGGGATCACAGTTATCATGATGGGAATAAATTTTTGGAGTCTTTGAGCTGACCCAAATAATGTTAATAAGAGGAATGCTGCATTTTTAAAAAAAAAAAAATCCATGATTTTTCTTTGGCCATTAGAGACATTGGATAAGTTGATTATTCAGTGTGGCTAACAACAACAACTAGCAAAGAAAGATGTACTACTTTCCTTTGGATGTTATTGAACCAGCCAGAAAAATAAGCAATGGGTAACAAAGAGACACAGCTATATAATGCAGACAAGGAGAAAGAACTTGCTGAGTGAAAGAAGGGGTACCTTTGTTGCTAAGTTCTTTGTTAGCTTTCTAAATATAATTTGCTCCAAACCTTTATTGGAAATAGCTTTGTCCCCCAAATGTCCCATGGCTGTGAAGTCTTCTCGTTCAATAGGGACAATGCTGGCTGGAGCCCTAAGGAGGAGGAGATTCCCTTAAAATTGAACGCCATATATGGAACAAACCTAAAAAGTTGTCTATGAGACACATAGTTCCCTGGCTGGTTGGATGTGTCTTGGAAACATATTACAAAAGAGAAAATGCCCCATATGTTCCTGAAATTATCTTGAAATGAATCTGTTTTCTTTTTCCTTGTTTAATTACTGTAGCTATCTGTAAAAAGCAAGAACTGTGAAGGGTATTCAGAGTTGAGATGGCAGAGTAATTCTTTTAGCTAGATACAAGTGGAAGGAGATGCTTTTTTAGATATGAGTAAGTCTTGGATTCAATCCATTCACATACTTTACAGAACACTGACCTGGACAGTGCTAAACTATGCTCTGCCACCCTATGTATATCTTTGGGCTGTTGTATTTTTCTTTTCCTTCTTCTCCTTAGGAATGGATATAATGTTGAAACCTCAATAATTAGTTATCTTTACTACAGATCACCCAAATAAGTCAATAGGATAAATCATGCTTTGATGTAATGATGGTTTACTGGGGAGTGGACATAATAAATGGCTAGAGCACCAAGATTTTTTGAAGAACGTTACACATTCAACTAACCCAGGGGTCTTCAGACTTGGCCCTTTTATGACTTGTGGACTTCAACTCCCAGAATTCCTCAGCCAGTTTGAAGACCCCTGATCTAACCTCATTGTCTATATCTGATGTTCTCCAGATCTGTTGAGATTGCAAGTTTCAAGGACGTAGGATCCATAGGGATGCCAGAGCTCTATCACCACCAAGTTGTTATTATTTTAAGGCTCTTCCAGGGGAATTCAAGTTTCAGTTTTATGTATTTGAGAGGCTGATTTGGAATTCTTTTTACTCAACCATATTACGCCCAAAATTCAAGATGGTGCTGATATAGCTGTTCCAAATCTAGATCATTTGTCTTTTGTATGTGAAATTAGGCCAGCAGCATATAGCGTGCCAAATTTCAACATTTTTGTTGAGAAGCCAAGCAGTTCATATTAATATTTTATTGCCTTTTTCTTTTTATAATCCCCCTGCCCCTTTAAAATACAATTGAAATTTAATTAATGAGCATATCATATAATTTATTCCTTCTGTAGGGATCTGCCCCATGCATTAAGGAAGATTTTGCAAGTGTAGCTCTGTGCTTCTTTTCAAGAAGAGAATGATGAGTGCAATTTATTATTATTATTATTATTATCATCATATTGGATGCATGGGTCTTCTGGAGGAAGTCCAAGTGGCTCTCATTAGACCTTGAAGGAAACGTGCAACTCTTTTAAACTTTAAAAGCTGAAGTGTTTTCAATGGAAAAGTCAGGGTTAAGAAGCTAGCACAGTTGTATAATTTTGGAAATATGTGATGTCTCTTCTCAATTCTATTTACACCTTCTTAATTCCTTCAGGGAAGTTTGAGTAAACACTTCTAAGCTTAGAGAGGGGAACATTGATGGTAGATTGTTTTTATGCCAGAGGTTTGGGGAAATTCTACTTTCATTTGTCTGCAGCTTGTTCGATGGGTTCATACATCATAACCTGTCCACTAAGAACTGCTGCAGATAGGCAGAGCATGCTCTTCAGATGGATGGCAGCACCTAGTTGATCTTGGCTGCTCCTCAAAAGTTGAAAAGGCCAAACCTGATCAGTATCTGGTCCAGAGACATCCAATAAACTTCAGGGATTGAAGCTATATTGGAAGTCAAAAATATTCATGAAAGGATAGGCAAGCCACATTCATATTATTGCCAGAAAAATGTCCCAGATACCTTCATGAAGCTATCAAGAAAAGATCTTGACGTGAAGGAGACTTTGCTTTTTAATCACTGTCGAAACAAACAGTGCAGGTTCCCACAACATTCATAGGCTGTTGGGAAGCATGGCCCCCGTTGGACATTTTATTTCTTCAAGGCACCGTATCTCAAAATGAGGAAAATGAAACGGGAGGAAAAAAACATTGCCATTTTTCTAGCTCAAGAGAAAATCTTGAGGTGTTGTTCAGCAAGGCATTGGAGCTATCCAGAAGGAACTGCAAGAATTCTAGCAATCACTACTTTTCTAAGCCTACTTCAAACTTTTTATTTTAAATTTTAAAGAAAAAGAGACCCCAATCGTTACACTGGAGCAGTAGTAACTGCTTCTTTGGGCCCCCCCTTAGCAGGTAACAGGGAAAAATGACCCTCTTCCTCTCCCTCATTTCACTGTCCTGAAATTGTGGTGGGAGGTAGAAAAGGAACAAGGAAGGGTGACTTGAGGTGGACTGGAACAGATTTCTATCTTGGGGCCTTTGGAGCAAACCACAAGTGCTGGTGTTTTGCCTCATGTTTTGTATTTATGAATGTGCTTTGCATGTTTCTACGTTGGTCCCGTTTTCAATAAACAGACACAACTCTCTTCTCTTAAAAGAACAACATATATTGCCTCCAGGCTTGCCTTTTTGTGGGAATATTTTTAGAAAACCTAGCCCCTTTGAAAGAGTCACAACAACCAACACAATTTTGATTAAAGAAAGAACTCTGTTTTAATAGGGATTTTTATCATTAAAAAAGTTTAAACCTGCATAGCAATCATTTCAAAAAATAATTATTTAATGTTCCATAATGAAACTGTACACAACCTAGTCTTGAGGGACCTGCAGCCCGTTGAGGGGGTGTTTCAAAGCAGTCCAGCGCAACCAGTTTTCCCTTTGGGTCCAGAGCCGCTTGGCTACTAACATTGGCATGTTGGAAATTTTTGGATTGAGTTGCTCTTGGTGTGGTCTAACTCGAGGATCTGGGTGGCTCTGCTGCACTGGGCTAGGTGACCCATCCAATTCTCACCCCCACCCACCCCTCAACTGGGCTCCTCAAAGTCGTTCAATGTCTCGATATTTTTTCCTCAGGATGGAGACCTGATCTTTAAAGAGCACAGGATCGAGCCTCATCTGAGAATGGATCAGCGGCATATAGCCAAACCAGCTGGCAAAAGTGTTCATGCAGCTTTGCCTCTGAGCAAAATGATCTGGATCAGCCCACCGAGAAGCTCTGGAAGTCTGCAACAAAACACAAAACAAGCCAGTTTATTCTTCAAAAGTTTTTATAGTCCGTTTTTCGCCTGGAAAAATTTCTAGAACTGTGAAGAACCGGAGCATCCCTACCTCTATCCTGCCCCCAAGCACCCACAAGAGAGAAGCAGAACAAGGGAGAGGTCCAAGGAAATTATGTTTAGAATCGCACTGAAGTCCTGGACTGATTAAATAATTTGATCCTTTACAGCAGCTGGCTCAGGAATTCTGGGAGTTGAAGTCCACGAGTCATAAAAGAGCCAAGGTTGACTACCCCTGCTTTACAGAATAGTCCTCGGAAAAACAATGGAAGTGCCCGTATTTCAGTAGCTGCTTAGAGGAGTAGGGTAGAGAACTTTATTTTTTCTTCATTGCCTACTCTTATTTATTTATTTTTTATTTTAGATTTTTTTTTGCCCTACCTTTATTATATTTACAAACAATTCAAGGCAGCAAACATACATAATAATTCTTCCTCCTCTTATTTCCCCCACCACAACAACCCTGTGAGATGGGTTGGGCTGAGGGAGACTGAATGGCTCAAAGTCGACCAGCCAGCTTTCGTGACTAAGGCAGGATTAGAACTCAGAGTTTCCTGGTGATTGGCTCAAAGTCGACCAGCCAGCTTTCATGACTAAGGCAGGACTAGAACTTTCAGACTCCTGGTTTCTAGCCTTAACCACTAGACCAAATGGCAGCAATTCTGGAAGGATTTATATTCTTGCAGACAGCTTGCAGACATTCTTTTAAAAGACCAGCTGTCTGCAAGTAATATAAATCCTTCCATTCCCCACCATCCAGTCAGAGCTGAAGAAGCTTCTTGGATGAGAAGCGAAAGGTCTTCAAAGAAAAACAAGAAAGTCCAGTTGCCTCCTGAAAAAGTATCTTTGGGACAACCATGGTGCCTCGTATGCTGCTGTCTTCCCGTTTTAGTTTCACAACAATCCCACAGGCAGGGATGAGCCCAAACTCTGCCAGTTAGCTTCAGGGGGTGAGAACTTAAACATGGAACTTCCCTTCTAGGGCCAACTTTCTAATCCCTACACCATAATTCTTCTTATTGCATAAGAACACAAAGGTAAAAAGTACAGTGTAATTTGGTTTACCCGCACCTCAATGCAACAGTTCTGAAATGCAACGCACCAAGTTTCCTCTCCTAGTGACATCAGTGGATGCATTTATGTCCTTTTTGTGATGATGTCACTGTTACAACTATGTAAAGTGGTGCAAATAACATCGTTGCACAAATAATTTAAGTCTCTGCTGTACTTTAATCTCTGATATAATAAAACTGATGAAAAAGGGACATTGTTCTTCCAACAGAGGTAGTACTTGACTTACTGACTGAGCTAAGCACAACAGTTGTCAAGTGAGTTTTGCCCCATTTTATGACCTTGTCACAGTTGTTAAGTACATCACTGCAGTTGTTAAGCAAATCCGGCCTCCCCACTGACTTTGCTTGTCAAAAGATCGCAAAAAATGATCACATGACCCTGGGACACTGAAACCATCATCAATATGAGTCAGTTGCCAAGCATCATGTGACCATGAGATGCTCCAATGGTCGTTAAGAGTTTAAAACAGTCATAAGTCTCATTTTCAGTGCCGGTGTAACTTCCAACAGCCACTAAATAAATGGTTATAAACTGAGGACTACTTGTATTCTCCTTTAAAATCTCAAACAGAGGAAATGCTTCTTGTAAGAAAACACCTACTCACAGCTACCAGTCTGTAGAGTTACTAGTCAAGTATGATAGTTGGGAACAGAGGATGGGTAACAGGCAGAAATTAATCAAATATCCATTATAACTTTGACTCTGTGCCTTCCTCAACTAAATGGATGTAATATATTAAGACCCCAGGGTGCATGTAAACTCAAAACAGCGTCTCTGAAGCTTTCTCCAACCTTTCTCCATTGTTCCAGAACAATTTTTTGCCTTTTAGGGGCAGGAGACCAAAAAAAGTGAGTTCTAAATAGCAATAGCACTTAGACTTATATATCGCTTCACAGTGCTTTACAGCCCTCTCTAAGCAGTTTACAGAGTCAGCATATTGCACCCAACAATCTGGGTCTTCATTTTACCAAACTCGGAAGGATGGAAGACTGAGTCAACCTTGAACTGGTGAGAATCGAACTGCTGGCAGTCGGCAGAATTAGTCTGCAATATTGCCTTCTAACCACTGCGCTACCACGGCTCTCTAAAATCTAATCAAGGTCATTAACAAAATAATATCCCAAGAAATCTTGCTCCTTCTAAGAAGAAACACAAAATTTCTTCCTTCCTCATTTGTGTGAGGCAGAGTGCCCCCCCCCCAAGACTTTCGTCCTCCTAAAAGTGCAAAATGCAGACTTCTATAATCAAAAGAAATTTCAGATTGTATCCATTTTACCACTAAGCATTGAATCTGCATTTAATATTAGTTTGCAGCATTATATTGGCAGTAATAAAAGTGGCCCTGTTTTGCTGACATGCACATTGCCTGTGCTTAGCTTCAGGACAGTGAAAAATCGCTTGATTTGAATCTTTGGAATCAATGGCTCAGCGGGAAATTGTTGCCTGCTTGCCTTGGGTGAGCAGAGAGCTTCTGAAATTAAAAGTTAAACATCCTCGTTTTTGAGGGATTCAATATTTGGAACACAAACTGAACAATCCTGTTCTCTTACTAGCATGAAATGTTTCAAAGGTAACTGTGAAATTCAGGGATTGGAAGACAAGCCAAATCCTATTGAATTCTGGATAATAGATGATCCTTCTGTTATTGTTTCCCTCACAGGCTGGGATAGCACATCATGATAAACCACAGTTTGTTTCTACCATGCCAAGTCAAAATAGTTTAAAACAGAGACAGTAAACAGCTCACCAACCTACAGTCAAGCCAATGTGTATTGGGTGATACCAGGATCAGAGCTTTGATGAAGCTATAGCTAACCTTCAGATGTGAAGGGTTAAAGGAAAAAAAGAAAAACAATAATAGAAAAAACGTTTTTAAAAAATTCCATCTTCCAATTACAATTAGTCGACTTACAATAGTTCATATTTGTCTGAAATGCTATAGGGCAGTGATGGTGGTGAACCTTTTAGAGACCAAGTGCCCAAACTGCAAAACCCACTTATGTATCGTCGGGTGCCGGGTGGGCATGGCCCAATAGGGTGGGTGTGGCTGCGGTGATAATGGCAGACTGGGTGGGACTAAAAAGTTCAATCAATTCCAACTTTGCGAGATCTTTTTTTTTCCCCGTGAGAAGTTGAAATTGATTGATTGATTGAACTTTTTTTTTTTTTGCACACGGCGGAGGCCTAAAGCGAAAAGGTTTTATAAAACTCAGCTGAAGGCTCTGTGTGTCACCTGTGGCATGCATGCCATAGGTTTGCCACTAAGGGTATAGGGTTTCCTGCCTGAGCAGGAGGTTGGACTAGAAGACCTCCAAGGTTCCTTCCAACTCTGTCTATTCTATTCTATTCTATTCTATTCTATTCTATTCTATTCTATTCTATTCTATTCTATTCTATTCTATTCTATTCTATTCTATTCTATTCCATTCTATTCTATTTGTCTGAAATGGTATAGGGTTTCCTGCCTGAGCAGGGGGTTGGACTAGTTGACCTCCAAGGTCCCTTCCAACTTTATTATTATTATTATTATTATTATTATTATTATTATTATTATTATTATTGTTGTTGTTGTTGTTGTTGTTGTTGTTGTTGTTGTTGTTGTTGTTATTCTATTCTTGACTGTTCGAAATTACAACAGCACTGAAAAAAGTGACTTATGGCCATTTTTCACACTTATGACCACTGCAGCATCCCCATGGTCACATGATCAAAATTTGGATGCTTGGCAATTGACTCTATTTATGATGGTTGCAATGTCCCAGGGTCATGTGATCACCCTTCCTAATAAACAAAGATAATGGGGAAACCAGATTCACTTAACAATCTTGTTATTAATTTAACAACTGCAGTGATTCACTTAACAAATGTGGCAAGAAAAGTCGTAAAATGGGTCATAAGTCAAGGACTACCTGTATTCTGGTTCCCCCCCTCCATATGCTTCACAACTCTAGACAGTGGGATCGTTGAATTATGAAATCCTTCCAATCTTCCATGTTTGAAAACATAAACCAGGAAACCCATGGAGATGTTTTATATATGGGCTGTTAAAAATTACATCTTAGTCCATGGGGTTAGGGAGAAAGAGAACTGAGAGATGATTTAGCACCTTAATTCAGTTTTCCTCAACTTCAGCAACTGGGGAATTCTGGGAATTGAAGTCCACACATCTTGAAGTTGCTGAGGTTGAGAAACACTGCATTAATTTATTAGTGCTCGATTAGATAGAAGAAGCAGAATGAGATGCTGAGATGAGCTTTTAGGGGTTCCTTGATAACACTCAGAACACACTAAAATGACAAATGGCCACTTGTTTAGAAGATAAAATCACATTAGCTGGTACGCTTTCTGTGCCAGCAACATCAGTGGTTGCTTAATTTGAGCCTTCTTCCATTTATAGTTTTTATTTCATTTTCACTGTCACAAAAAAAACATATGTGGTTTCCATTTATATCTAAAGTCTGGAATTAGTAAGTGCATTTGCATATGATTCCATAATATCTGTCCAGCCAGTTTGATCTAGCAAGGTTGGTACACTATGGATTCCTCAAATTAAACAATGCCATCTATTGTGATCTCAGCATGGCTATTCTCTGCAACAATCATCCTTCCCCAGATCCAGATGGCCCCCACCCTTCTTGTGTTTTGAAGTTCTTCATCCAGGACTTTTGCAAGTGATTGCATGGGCTTCTTTCTTTTTCATCCCTGTCCAGTTCATGTTATTTTCTACAGGTAGTCCCTGACTTACAACCATTTGTTTAGTGACCATTTGAAGTTACAATGGCACTGAAAACAATGGCTTATGAACATTCTCTACATTCACAGCTGTTGCTGCGTCCCCAGGGTCACGCAATCAAAATTATGGCCTGTATTTATGACAGCTGAAGTCTCCCGGGCTCATGTGTTGTTCTGACAAGCAAGGTCAATGGGGAAACCTTATTCAATTGGCAACCTAACTTAATAACTGCAGTGGTTCACTTAACAACTGTGGCAAGAAAGGTCATAAAATGAGGCAAAACTCCTTTAACATCTGTCTTGTTTAGCCATGGAAATTTTGGGCTCAATTGTGTCTTTTATTTTTGTATGTTTTTACTAGTGAGTCTCCCACAGTTGTATACAAATTCAATAAATACATCATTGTAAATCACAATGCAGCATTATCAGGATAAATTACAGGCAGCCCTCACTTAACAACTGGTCATTCAATGACCATTCCAAATTATAACGCTCTCCCCCTGAAACGTTATGACCTGTCTTTGAAGTTACAACTGCTGCACATCCCTCTGCGGTCATGGGATTGTATTTCAGGTATTAGATCAGGGCTTTTCAACCTTTTCACTCATTGTACCACTTTTAGGATATGGCAACATCCGAGTACCACTAGTCGCCTAGCAAGGTGGCAAAAACTTGATGCCCCCCCCAAAAAAGAGGAAAAAAGTGATAAAGTACAGGTAGTCCTCGACTTACAACAGTTTGCTTAGTGACTGTTCGAAGTTACAATGGCACTGAAAAAAGTGCCCCCCAAGGCACAGCCGAGCAAGACACCTGGCTGTCCGCCCAGCGGCACTCTTCCTCCTGTCCGAGGTTACCATTGTTGTGAGCGTTTCCATTGTTGTGAGCATTGTTGAGGATTGGCAGTGGGGGTGGGGTGGGGGGTGTTTGGTTTTTATTCCCCCCGTCTGCTGGGTCGTTGCAGCAGGTTTTGGTCACTTCACATGACCCTGGGATACTGTGACCGTCATAAATATGAATCAGTTGCCAAGCATCTGAATGTAAATCACAAGACCCTGGAGATGCTGCAACATTCCAGCTGATCGGCACTTCTTCTGGGCTCAGCAGAAGTGCCAGGATCAGTGCTGAACTCCAGCTGGAGCCCGACACTGATCCTGGTGCTTCCACTGAGCCCTGACAGCCCTGCAGCTCCAGCCATCTCTTGCTCAGGCTTCTGCGGTGCTGCCACCAGTTCAGCTCATTCCCCTCCCCCGCTACTTTTCTAGGATGCTCGCGTACCACCTGCCAGGTGCCAATGTACCACAGGTGGTACCCGTACCACTGGTTGAAAAGCCCTGTATTAGATAACCAACTCGCATTTACAACCAGCATCCCATGGTCATGTGATTGCAATTTTGCAATTTTTTTGCTGATTTTGCTTAATGACCATGTGATTTGCTTAACAACCACAGTGACTTGCTCTACAACCCTTGTAAAAAGAAAAATTGAGTGCAGTCACATGGTAACCCACTGAAAGACTTACGGTGGAACTTCTGGCCTCTATTGTGATTGTTAAGCGAGAACTATCTGTATAGTGAATCTGGGTTAAACAGACAATGTTGGTTACCAGATATCTATGGAGATTCTCAATCATCCAGATCATAGTTGTCCCAAAGATGCTTTTTCACAAGGCAACTCGGCTTTCTTATTTTTCTTTGAAGACGTTTTGCTTCTCATCCAAGAAGCTTCTTTAGCTCTGACTCTGATGAAGGGGAATGGAAGGATTTATATTCCTTGCAGACAGCTGGTCATTTGCATTCTTTTAGAATGCACTACATTTGCACTACTCAGGTGACTCTAAGGACACAGATACACCTCCAGGTGGCCTCAACGACTCTCTAAAAGAATGGAAATGACCAGCTGTCTACAAGGAATATAAATCCTTTCATTCCCCACCATCCAGTCAGAGCTGAAGCAGCTTCTTGGATGAGAAGTGAACCGTCTTCAAAGGAAAAACAAAAAAAGCCTAGTTGTCTTGTGAAAAAGCACTTTTGGGACATAGTTGCCAGATGTTCCTGAACTACAACTTCCTGCTCCCCTTGCCTTATTTCTTAGGAATTCTTGGAAGATCTGGATCAGCAACATCTGAAATGACTACTTGCGATTTGTGAACTACAGTTTCATTCTCCCCTGTGATAGCAAGGAGATCTCATCATTCTCCTATCTAGGGTTAGTAGTAACAAACTGACTTCAAGCTGTATCTCTGAATTATTTCCATGTTTCAGATTAATTGCAATTTAAAATTAAAAAGAGGCAAATGCCTGAGTTTCTCTGCTTGAGACTAGTCTAGATGAATGACCTACAGTACCTCATCTTTAGTAATTCCAACAGTGGCTTAAAGTTATGAATTAGGGCAACTAAGAATTACAGTAATAAACTTTTATAGAAATGGCCATTAAAGAACAATTTCACCAGCAAGTTTCAGCCATCTCAGAAAAAGCACCAGAAAAAAAACAAAGAAAATAATTCTAGCTGAACTTGTCCCCCCTCTTCTTAAGCAAAAATCTTAATTATTGCAATTGGCTAGCTTTTCAGATTCAAATGCATGGCATCTGCAGGGAAAATTCTTAAATTTAAGCAAAAATGGAAAAATAGTCATCAACAAACTATACACTGCACCACCATCCCCAAATTAACATAAGCATCCTATTCTTTGCAGGAGGGGGGGCAGAGAGAAAAATTCTGAAGTTTTCCCCCCTGCATGTTCTTACAAGAACTGACTTTAAATAATTATTTCTAAAATAGAAAACCCACATCTGTTGCAGCACCATTTGTGAACATTTCTCCTTTCACATCATGATGGCGGGCTATTTTTGAATAACGCCAAGTTTAATGTTTTATTAAATCCATTCACTTGCAGGATTTTTATAACATTTTTAAAAAGACATAGCACTTTATTTTAGATTTATAGGTGAACTCCCATTAGTACAGATTAAGATTAGGTACCATACATCTACCAGCAGGGCTCTTTGGTAACCTATGTCAACATCCAGCCTGAGAATCCTATAAAACTCCAGGTTCATTCCGTTTCTAAAATGTTTACTGTTTACTGGATACACTTCATGACTATGTCGAAGTAAAACTAACTCTTGAGGTTCCAACACCAATTCACAGACTTAAATAATAATTTTCCCAGTCAAATCCCCAACGTTTTACATAATCCATATCAATAAATTCACTTTTTATGGGAACTATCTGCTTCAAATTCACACCTGTCCTGGTATCCTTGACAAGGCTTCAGATTCCCACAGGGTTTTCAGCTGAATCGAAGAAGTTTCATTTCTCATTCTTACCCACTTGAAAGTAACACCTCCCACCACTTTATCTAAAAGCAAGTTGAAATGCAGAGGCATGTAGCTGCCAAAGTTTCACCCTTGACATCCTTTAGATTCTGGTGTCAGACTACATTAGTTGGGATTCTGCAAGTTGTTTGTGGACTTAATTTTTGGTGAGTTTATTTACAGATGATCCAACTTTCAGAGATGTGTGCTCTTAAGCATATGTCATCTTCAGGAAGTGTAATTTTTTCCCCAAGTTTTGTTCACTATTTGAAGGTTTTGTTCACTATTATGAGAATTGCTGTTATGGTAGTCCTTGATCCCCCCTAAAAAAATATTTACAAACCAAGGTTAAAACAGACTTTCTGCACATACCTGTCCCATCATGGTTTCCTTGTACTGTTTTTTCTGTGTTACTTTGATGGGAGGCAATTTTGTCACAGCGGACACCAAAAAGTTCATTAAAATGTCTTCACAATTGGCTAGTTGGTCCACCACATTCTTCAGACTAGCAGGCAGGTAATGAGTGTACAGGTAGTGATAATATCTGCAACACAACAATTGAGGGCCTTCAGTGACAATCTGGCAATGTGCATTCCAAGTATACACATTTACTTGGAATAAGCCAACAGAACTTCAGTGAAATTTTCTGATAGCTACCAAATTGAATTGAATGGTTTTTCAAAGTATATGCAGGAACTAAAGGTCGCAACAGATTTAGAAATGTAGGAAGCTGTCACATTAGTACTGATTGTAAGTCCATTCAATAAATGTGGGCTGTTCCCAGAAATTCAGGCAACAATACAGCTGACAAACTATCAATGTATCTTATGCGCTGCAGGCTGGGGCTTTTTTCAACAAGTATATTAACTCTGCATCCAGTTCTGGTCACAATACCAAAAAAAAAAAAAAAAAAAAAGATGCTGAGGCCCTAGAAAGAGTGCAGAGAAGAGCAACAGAGATGATAAGGGTTCTGGAGTCTAAATTGTATGATGAATGGCTAAGAGAACTAGGCATGTTTACTCTCATGAAGAGAAGGTTTAGGGGAGATATATAAAAATATTCCAATACTTGAAGAGCTGTCACAGGGAAGAGGGCATCAATTTACTGTTCATAGCACCTGAGGGTACAACAAGAAGGAACGGGTGGAAGCTTGTCAGAGCAACCTGGAAATAAGGAGGAATTTTTTGACAGTGAGAATGATTAATCAATGGAACAGCTTGCTTCCCAAAGTGCTCCATTGCTAGAGATTTTCAAGAAAAGGTTGGGCAACTCTGGATTAGCATAAACACTCCTGCCTTGGGCAGGGGGTTGGACTAGAAGACCTCCAAGGTCCCTTCCAGCCCTATGATTCTAAGTTGTGATCCCTCTTCAAACTAGAAGCAAAAGATCTGTACTTATATAATCCTAGCAGTGTCAAAATGCCCGAAAGTGTCTTCTGTGGGACTTCCTAGACTCCCTATTCCATTTGACTTTTTAACATCTGTTACATATTTTAATTAAAGATAACGAAAAGGGGCACGGTGCAAAGCAAAGCAATTACCCTCCAGCATAATCAGTATTTCCAAGAGTGCCACTGGGTCTTAAACAGGCCTCAGAGGTCTTTCATAAAATAAACACGGGGAACGTCTGGAGGCTAGGTCTTGGATTTGCATGTTTTCACCTGCCTCTACCCAAGATAAGGGCATGCCGGGGTAGAAAGGAACATCTTGAGGATGCAGCAATTAAGGATGGGTACCATACTTTTCATTTTATTCAGTCTCCCATGCCCATTTTGAAATGGCCAAGCAGCCATTTGCTGGAGTGCTTATGAGATGTTCTCATAATTCCATATGAACCCATCAGCTCAAAAGAGGCTGCAGAATGGTGCAATCCAGGGAATGGTCCAGGGGAGAAGTCTCTAAAGCAGCAAAGGGCAACCTATAACCCTCAAACAGAGAGGAAGGGGTCCAAATGGAGAAAGAGGACAGATATTGCACAAGTGAGCAATGATCTGCTTGCTCCAGGCCATACCAATCAGGCTGGAGATGACAGGAGCTTTGGTACCAAGTCAGTTTTCCCCAGGTTTAAAAAAGTGTCCAAAAAGGAATTATTGATAGTATCAGTTTCTGATGACAAGGGAAGTCCAGAATTCAAAAATTCTTGAAAAACCTGAGAAATAAGAGGTGCTGATATAGTGGGGCAAAGGCTATTTATTTATTTTATGCAGATAAAGTAAATTTACACAATTTTATGTCTTTTGTTAACCTTATTTAGCTGTTTCTGGAAATTCACCACTCATTCTAAGAAATCTGAAGAAGAGTTGCAACGTTAGCTGATTGTGGAAGAGAGAGAGGTAAGTTAAAATGTTTGACCATCATCCTAAGGAAACCAGACAATCATTCCCTTGCAGTGATATATTTTCATTTTTCAAAGAGAGAGAAAACACAACGTGAACAATTGTTGTACAGAAAAAGACAGAGAGGCCTTTCTTTGCTTTTCTCTCCCTTATAAGCCCAACAAGCAAACATGAAGACTCAAAACCTGAGATGAATTATAAAGGTTATGCCAATGTACAATTTGGCTGAATTAAGATGGGCAGTCAACCTAAACCTCAATTGGCTTAGGACATGTTCATTCTCCCTTGATGCCAAAGAAAATTTGGGCAGATCCTTCTGAAGAGTTTAGGTGCTTTTTTGAAGTCTGCTATTGCCCTTAAGAGAGAGCATTCAAATCAAATTGCTTTTTTAGAGTACAAGTGACTTGAAAGAAATTGAGAAAAACACACTAATGACTGTCAGATCTTAAAACCGGGAATCAAAGTCATTATCTGCAGAAGAGACTCAAATTTTAATCCTTTAGGAATCACCCTTGAAGTTTTAACAAAACTTGCTTTGCAAAGTTAAGGGAGTCAAAGACAAAATGAAAAAAGTAATAAGATATAGTCCAGGATCGCTGTGTGTCTATAATTTAACTCAACACAGAATAGATGGACAAAAGATAATTTTTCAGTAAATGTCAGAATCCAATTATATTTCATCTTTAATTATCAAATATAGAAACTCCCAATTCTGCCTTCTCTGGATTCTGCCATAAGAGGGAGAGAAGGGGGAGAACAAAGGGGCTTTATGGCCCTCACTTCCTTCAGTACACTTCAAAGAGCTGAATGCTGAATGTGTGTTTATTGTAACCTCAAAGCGTTAGCATACCAAAGAAGGGTATTTGCCTTTCATGTAGTTATCTGAAGTCTCCATCCAGACTGAAGAAAGAAGAAAGGGGGTGGAATTGTGATACTTGAAACTATCACTGGAAGGGGGGGTTGATTGGGTGGGACTACTGGGGAACCCCTTAAAACCTTGAATGGGAGAGCTTGAACCCCAAGTCCTGTCTAGGGGTTCTGCAACCATTTTCTCTTAATAAAGGATTCCTGTTGGAAGAATTATTCCAAGAGTTCTGTCTTCTTAAGATGCAAAGTGGGGTGGGTCCTTACAGTAAATAAATACTCTCCTTTGGACATCTATGTCAGAAGGAATAAAATGGTAGAAGAGGGCTAAATAGGGTTATCAATTTAATTTCTCTAGATAAATATAAGAATATAGTTGAACTCCTTTTGCCCCTTAAAACAGGCTTTAAATACCCATAATAGTCTTACTTGTGGTAAATAGCAGCTCCACTCAATACCATGGAATAATCATTAGTCCACTTTGATGTGTAGCCCCACCTCTCTTTCGTGTTATCCCAAAAGTGGCTGCGGGCAGGATAACCCACAATCCTCTCTGGGAAACTCTGCCAGACAGTGAAGGCAAAATCCACCTGCAGGCAAGAAAAAAAAAGACGACAAACCAAATGGATGTGGCAAGTGGTAATCAAACAGTCTCAAAAATGTCAGCAAAACAAAATATTACCTTTTCACTAATTCATAATTTGCAATCTTGGAACTGTTGCAAAACATTAATTCTCTGTATTCATCAGTAAATTAAACTGACTACTTGACATTTTGCCCTGTAATTATGCACATTTTAATGTTTTTCCGTTAATAGGAGCCTAGAGCGCCAGAGAATCATATTAACATTTTGCCGGCATGACACAGGCACTGTAAACATTCACAACTAGTGAAGAACTGGGTGTCTTTAGGAATTGAATTGTTTGTTTATTAAGTGAACCAGTAAGGTGATTCTCTGTCCATTTTGTAGAGGAGAAAGGAAGTGTCTTTTTATCACTGGATGGGGAACATCAAGATAAAAATGATGTTTTCCAAAGACAGATGTTCCAGAATTATTAATTCCACATGCCCTTATTTGTAATCTTTTCTCCTTGACTTCAGCTAGCGCAAGACAGATAATGAATATTTTACGTCCTGCTACGGCTGTGGGAATATTTGAGCTGAAGATTCAAGCAGCGCAAATGAGGCCTTCAAACTGAATTTTTGAACCGAATCAAACATTTGAGTTCAATCGATACTATAAATACCATGATGCAGTCCAGCCCTATTGTGAAACTAGAGGTTCAAGGCATCTCTGCCGTAAAGATGCCTGATAGGAGATTCAGATCTTTGAAGGGTGCTTCCAATTAAGTTAGGACTCATTCTCTTTCTTCAAGTTGCTCAAACAACATGAAATGCTTACAGTTCAGACAAAACAATTATTCCTGCCACAGCTCTGAACACAAATTATTAATATATCAGAAAATCAGCAGACACTTTAACATCTTTTATATAAAAGCCAATATCTGTTTTCCTGAAAGGATTAAAGCTAAGTTAAGGAAGGAACAGTTGTGCTAGATATAGATAAAGGATCCTACTGAGGTTTGTGAAGACTTCATCATAACAAATGAAAAGTTGTTCTTTTGACTTTAATTTGTACATTTATAAATACTCTTTCTCTATTGTTCGGGTTCTGGGGGGGGCATACAGATTCTCAATAAAGCAACCATAAATCAGCAATTCATCATTAAAATTCTGTTTAATGTTTACTGTAGGTAGTCCTCAACTTACAACAGTTCATTTCATGACCGTTCAAAGTTACAATGGCACTGAAAAAAGTGACTTATGACCTTTTTCATACTTATGACTGTTGCAGCATCCTCTTGGTGACATGATCAGAATTTGGATGCTTGGCAACTGGTTCATATTTATGATGGTTGCAGTGTCCTGGGGTCTTTTGTGACCTTCTGACAAGTAAAATCAATGGGGAAGCCAGATTCACTTAACAACCGTGCTTCTAACCTAATGACTGCAGTGATTCCCTTAACATCTGTGGCAAGAAAGGTCATAAAATGAGGCAAAATTTGCTTAACAACTGTCTCTCTTAGCAACAAAAATTTTGGGGTCAACTATGTTCGTAACTCGAGGACTACCTATAATATGTATTTTCCTGGTGGTTTCAGACAACTTTTTTGAGTCAAAGAGACATCCTTGGAACCAAAAGGGTGTGCTAATTCACAAAATGGCTACCATGGTCGTCATAACAAATCAAACAAACGCCATTTACCAGCAGTCTGACTGTTGAGGTTGTTTCACACCATCTCATCTAGCTTCCTCAAATGTTCTTTATCCCGTTAAATTACTTTTCACTAATTTTGGGGCAGATCGATGCACTTCCAAACAAAGTGCCTATGTGCCATTTTCTTCCCATAGGCTTGATGCTTTTAAAAACCTAAGTGAACAAGAGCCAGTTTGGTGTACTGGTTAAGGCAGTTAAGAAAATGAGAAACTGTGAATTCTAGACTGCCTTAGGCACCAAGTCAGTTGAATGACTTTGGGCCAGTCACCTTCTCTCAGCCCTAGGAAGCAGACAATGGCAAACCACTTCTGAAAAGAAACAGCAACACCTTGCCAGGAAAACTGCAGAGGCCACTCCAGGCAATCCCCAGAAGTCAACAATGAATCGAGGGTTTAAAACAAAAATAAAAACAAGGAATGCCAAGGAACAAATTATGAGTACTTTGGCATCACCACAATCTATGTTAACTAGACACAACTCTAGAAGTATGCTAGAAATTTTTCAGGCTGGCATATGGCAATATCATTAGACAGATGAAATGTAATGGGGAAATGGGTATCCAGTTGCAACCCTTGTCAACAACAAATTCTGTTCCAGACTAATTTATTGCATGGGGTGTCTCTTGCATAGAGAAAGTAACTGGTTTTTACTAGCCTTCTAGAACTTCCCGGCAAAGATCTATCCATCACCTGCTCTTGAGTGTTTCAACTGGACATGCCAAAGTTTAAATGTGGAATCTTCTGCACTGAACCCGTTGTTCTACCATGAAGCTGTGAATAGCTACAAGAGTCCTGGAAGATGCACTGAAGTCCACAAGTCTTAAAGTTGCCAAGTTTGGAGACCCTTGCTGTAGATGCTAAATGAATTTTAAATGCCACATATAAGATTCCTAGTTTCTTATTAAGGCTAATGTAGAGAACCAAATAGGGAGTAATTGAGTTGGAGGGTGGGGGTGGGAGAGAAAGCTAGCCAACCTGCTAACCTCTTAAGACAGCCGACACTCCTCCTTAAATCCACATGGACTTCTAATTTTGAGTCATAGAGATTTTGCCACCCACTGTGCAGGATGGCTTAATATTTCATTATATTAGGAGTGAAAAGCTAAAGCCTTAATTAAAGGTAAAAATGAAGAAGCATTTGAGGTTTTTCTGAGTTTTATCACTCATATTTGAAAGCTGGGAAATTATTATTCAGTTGGATATATATATATATATATATATATATATATATATATATATATATATATATATAGAGAGAGAGAGAGAGAGAGAGAGAGAGAGAGAGAGAGAGAGAGAACCATCATTTAACTGTCGTTTTTTACTGTGGGCACAATGACGCACATTAAAAATGAAATTTGGTTGCTTGCTCTCAAAGTGTACACATACATAACAGACATTTAAATATACTATATACAACATATGTATAGACCTGCACCCTTACATGTAAGTAACATATAAATATTAATCACTGTCCATCTTAAATACATAATGGAAGGAGGAAGCTTAGAGTTCACAAGGTTAATACTGTATGGAACAAAACTTTAGTAGTAGTAGTAGTAGTAGTAGTAGTAGTAGTAGTAGTAGTAATAGTAGTAGACATTCTGATATCTTGAGCTGATAACCCCCTTAATTTATTATTCATGTTCATTGGGAATTTCTGGGAACTTTAACTTAGCAAACTTCCACAGAACATAAGATTGGAGAGGATAATTTAAATCAGGTTTCCTTACTAATGATCCTGAGTCTTGTGTGAAATCTGCAGAATATAGTATTGGTTACTAGTATAGATGGTGTTATAAAAAAGAGAGAAATCTGGCCAATGATATAAGATTGACACACCAAAATGGAACAATATATGGCATGGGAGAAATATATATAACAGAAGACTAACCAATTCCAAGCAAGCACGACTTACACAATAAGGCAAGGTGACGCATTTAGAATAGAGTTTTGTTTTTGTTTTTTAAGAAAAATGAGAGAAACTGACTGAAAAAAAAGCTGATAAACTAACTTTAATAGATATAAGCATTACCTGTAAAACTTTAAAGCGAAGTGTAAATATCTAAATAGCAGAATTGTTGGGGAAAACCACATTCATTTTACAATGTATTTTTAATACACTATAATCTTACATGTTATATCCTTTTTGATCCCTTACTTTTGTACAATGCTTATGCAATAATAAAACTAACCAAATGCAAAAAAGAGAGATGGTTTGTATAAAGTAATTTAGATACACTGCATTTGATTCAAAATAAATTAGAATTTAACCTGGCTGAAGTTTGGCATAATTTAAGGGTCAGCCCATTTTTAGAAAACAGGGATGTCAAATTAGAAGCTACATGGAACTTCCAGATTCAGAACAGTTGATTTAGCCATGTGGGAAATAAGATGCTGATTGGACAAAACTTTGTTACGATCCAGGTAGTACGGAGTTATTTTGGGGCATGTACAGAGACTTCTGAACCACTGAACTACAGTAACCTCTGATTTTATTTTTAATCATGTCTCTGATAGCAGAGAAATACAGTTGTATTTAAGCAAACATGGACCTTCAACAGAAGTTGTGAGAAGAAAGAGACGTAGCTACACACATCCTCTAACCATTTGCAAGATCATGCACATTCAAGTTGATAAACGTATTTTTTAAAATCCAGATATAATAGGAACAACTGGATTCCAGAAACACTGAATGGGGTTATTTTTATTTATTTATTTGTGTTTCACTTTCATTATGTTTTTATAAACAACTTAAGGCGACAAATATATCTAATACTCATTTTTCTTCCTATTTTCCCTACAGCTGATTGGGCTGATCACCTAGCTGGCTTTCATGCCTAAGGTGGGACTAGAACAAACAATCTCCTGGTTTTTAGTCTGATGCCTTAACCACTAGTAGACCAAACTGGCTCTTTTGGGTCTTAAAGTTTTGAGTCTTGGAAGAGGACTCTTTGTGCTATTTCCAAAGTTATAAATTCTAAAGAAGAACTTGCTATTTTTTTTTAAGGGACGGAAAAGTAAGAGAGACACATAGAAAGGGAAAATCACACTGAAATTGAAGGAGACAATAAACACTCAAAGCTTTTCCAGAGCTGCCATTAATAATGTATTTCCAATATATTGCCATGTTATATAAATGGCCGCTCGTTCCCACCATCTCTTTACGGGAAGAGTTGAGAGAAATCAATACTCATCCTACTTGTAAAAATTGGTTTTCTACATTGGGTTCCCTGATCTCCAGCTCCCTGCCCCCATCTCTCCATCCCAGCGGCCTTTTTTCTTCTGCTGCAATCTTGCTTTTAGTACAGCAGTTCTGAAGTATGGAAGAGAGACATGTAACCTAGGCTTTGTGTGTGGTGCTTCTCAAAAGAAATATCAGGCCAATGCTAGGCAAACACAGCTCTTAAAAACCAGAATATAGTAGAAATTAATACAAAAACTAGCTGTCTGTATGTACACACTTGTGAATATTTGGTATACATCCATCTCTATCTGCATGTTACATTTGGCCCAACAGGACAGTCAACCTTTTTTCCTAATAGACCAAGAAGCATTGCTGAGATGAAACCACAAGAATTCCAGATGGACACGGAATTAGATTGCCAGCAGTGGTTAGAATGCAATATTGCAGGCTTATTCTGCTGGCTGCCGGCTGTCAGCAGTTCAAGACTCATTGGCTCAAGGTTGACTCAGCATTCCATCCATCCGAGATCGATAAAATGAGGACCCAGATTGTTGGGGGCAATATGCTGACTTTATAAACTGCTTATAGTGTAAAGCACTATATAAGTCTAAGATGCTATTGCTATTGCTTCCTCTTAGTTAAAACAGATACTGGGCTGTTCAAATCTTTGCAAGAACAGTATTTCCTTAGAGCTGTTCCATGAAGTAACATGGCCCCCTTGCTTCTAAGAGAGCTGCAGAAGTTCTACTGGTTGCAGCCATGCAGATCGTCTCTGGCCACATTAAGAAAATATTCATAAATCTCAACCAAGAAGGTATCTCTTACTTTTTCCAGTCATCTTGTGCAAAACTTTAATGAGCCCAGGAAGGAAACTCTGGGCTGTTTTGCCTTTACTAGCTTTGGAAAGAGACAAAGAGAAATCAGGGTACACCATCACGGCAAATCACATTTCAGTCACTTTATGTGGGTCTATTAGAGGCTTGGGGATTTTTTGAGTACATGTAGTCTCCAGTTAATGATTGCTCTATTTAGCGACCATTCAAAAAAATCTGTTTGTGACCTTTTTTTGAATTTATTCAGTAGCAGTATTCTTGCAGTAACATGATTGGGATTCAGACACCTGGCAACTGACAGACATTTATGATAACTGCAGCATCCTATAGTCATGGGATCTCTCTTTGTGACTTCCACAGCTGACCTCTGACAAGAAAAGTCAATGGGGAAGCCAGCAGTAAGTGGAAAGGAGCAGTCACATGACATTGCGCTTAGTTACCCCAGGTGATTCATTTAACAGCTGCAGTGGAGCATTTACGTGATATTTCACTTAATGACCATTCGCTTAGCGATGGAGTTGCCAGTCCCGGTTGCAGTTATTAAGTGAAGATTATTTCTCTTAATAGCATCAGCATCTCACACTAGTTCTAGGTTGATTTTGTAATCTGGTGAAGGGTATGTTTCCATGATTTCCTTCTAGTCATCTAAAAAATACGGCCATTCATTTCATTTGAACTAAAATTTGAGGAAGCTCCACTTAGCCTTCACTGGAACAGCAATAGCAATAGTACTTGGACGTATATAATGCTTCACAATGCTTTACAGCCCTCTCTGAGCGGTTTACAGAGTCAGCATATGGCCCCCAACAATCTAGGTCCTCATTTTACTGATGTCGGAAGGATGGAAGGCTGAGTCAACCTTGAGCCGATGAGAATTGAACTGCTGAACTGCTGGCAGCCAGCAGTCAGCAGAAGTAGCCTGCTGTGTTGCATTCTAACCACTGCGCTACCATTATTATTCTTCATAATAATGAAGAAACCTGGAATATGGTCTAGACTCTAGAACAGATTTCAATGAAAGCTAAGTGGACCATGCTTGATTTATGCAGTGCCAACTACCTCAATTTTTGTTATACTATGTGATAGGCAGCCTTATGCAACTTGATGCCCTCTAGATGAGTATGATTGCAAGATTTTTCCAGCATGGAATACAGAGAACACTAAGTTGGCGAACGGAAATAAACAGACTTTTAAGGAGAATATTTGTAGTTCAGGATTGAAATGAGGGGTCCTTAGTGTCCTTGAGCTTGCAGACAGTTCATTACCCAAAGTAATCAGTGTTAGTAAGGGCTGTGGTTTCTCCTCTCAGTCCTCACTAGAAGGCCACTTGTTACTAGCATTGATGATGTTATGTGGTTTGGATAATAAAACATCTGAAAGAAAACAACCAAGCTTAGAGAGCACCAAGAAGCCGTTAAATACACTTTGGAAAAGAAAGAAAGAAAGAAAGAAAGAAAGAAAGAAAGAAAGAAAGAAAGAAAGAAAGAAAGAAAGAAAGAAAGAAAGAAAGAAAGAAAGAGAGGGAGGGAGGGAAGGAGGGAGAAAGGAAGGAAGGAAGGAAGGAAGGAAGGAAGGAAGGAAGGAAGGAAGGAAGGAAGGAAGGAGGGAAGGAAGGAAGGAAAGTCAAATACTAGAATGACTTGGGAGAGCCAGTTCACTCCACAGGTAAAATATCTCACCTCAGTGGTTGAAAGCACCGTATCTTCGTCGAGGCTTAGAACGGCATCTGTGACAATGTTCTCATAGGGCAGGAAGCGACTGCTCATCACCTGTAGGGTGAACGAGATGGGTCAGTGAGAAGCTCTTGAGACTTATCTGCAGGCAGGACCTCCATACTTGAGCCCAAAGAGTTAACATTTTACCACAGCATTAAAGAGAGAGGAAGGGGGGGGGGGGATGGCTGTGAAAGAAAAGCACTTCATGTGCAAGAACTGAATTCCTTTGCAGCTTATTGCATCTGGCCTAACAATGTGATTATGTTACTCCTGATTAATTTCAGCAAGAGTGGCCTTCTAGATTTATGTGTTCGCATTATTCCCTTATCCCAAATGTTGTCATGCATAATGCTCTAGTTTGATTTTTTGGAAATCAACCAACCAACCATTTTTATATAATTAAAAGGCAATAAGTCATAGCTATATTTAGGATATATATGCTTCCCCAAAGCTTAAAGTAGCATTTAGAATTCCTTCTTACTTTATCTTCATCAAAATCTGATGAGGTAGGCTAGGTTAAATGATAGTGACGAACACAGTGCCTCGGGCTAAAATTCATGGCTGAGTGAAGATTTTAACTTATACCTCCCAAGCAATATCTAATGCTTTAACCAATATACTTCACTGGCTGGTTTTCAAAATCTATAGCTAGCCTTATACTATCGTTGAAAACAAGAAGTGACGAACAAAAGGAGTGTAAATTCCAAGTTACAAGATTCCTAAGACAATACAATGTCTGTGTAGGATTTTGCATTAATCTTTTCAAGCCACCCTGACATCAATTTGTGAGCCGTAGTTGATACAAGAATATTGTTGGGTTCTCTTGAGACACTCTCGCTTCTCTGTGTGTCTATACATTAATTTATCACAGGCAGACAATTCAATCCATTTCTGCTGCATGCCATTTCTTGATGTAGTTCATCTCATTTCCACACCAATGTGCAAAGTCAGAATCCCAAAATGTGCATTCCTAAACTTATTTTGAGAATATTTTTCTGAGAACTACGGCACAACCTTTGATGAAGTGTGAAAGCTGATTAGACTATGATCTAATCGGCACTGATGAGTGATGAAACAAATTTGGATTTTTGTTTTGTTCAGATTTGCTTCTTTCTTGTCACTCCCCCCCCCCAAAGCCTCTTCACTGATTTGCCAACTAACTTTTCTCATTAAATCTTTGTACTTCTAGAAGGAAAAACAGCAGCAAAATCTGTATTTTTTTTAAAAAAAAATCTTTCTTTTGTCAGCCAAAACATTTATATTGAGTAGACCTATTTTTGTGGCGAGTTTGCTCTTGTTTTTATAAAAATGAAGATGACGTATTGAAAGACAAGGAATCTACCATAGAGTGCTAATAATGAGTTTCAACCATTCACACATGAACATAGCTTTTTTAAGGGGGAAAGATGATCCTAAGGCAGAAAACATTTACGGCATCCTTTATAACAATTTTTGCCACCCTGGGGTTTTTGATTGATTCAAATCCTGGATAATTCTCAGCAGCAAAGCAAATGGAGGCTATAATCCTGGGAATCTGAAAGGTGTCAGGCTTGACATAATTGTTATGCTTGAGCAAGTTAGCTTACACTGTAAAAAATGCCAATTTGACATTCTAAACATATTTTTTTCCCCATTTGCTGTGCAGGACGAGAAATACGATCCTCTTGACGATACTTCCAGATTTCTTTGTAGTCCCTAAAAAGCTCCAAGACTATTGCTTACCTGCACTTTTGAAACTTGTAAGATCTATTCTTTCCTTAGGCCCTCCAATACATGAAACAACACAACAAAAGTGGAAGGAGACAGAAGGAAGCAATCAAATCTGCCGAAGAGGGCAGCCTCAAACAGAAGCCTTCCGTCTCTCAGCCCTGGAGTGAATCTCAAACTACCCTGAGATCTGAGTCAACAACTGATTTAGCTGCCACCTTATTGGCCATTTAGTGTATTGGAGAAAAGCACAGATATTACCTGCATTCTTTTTAGATAGATGAGAAATACCTGGGAGCTTCAATAATTTAGATACATTTTTCCCCGAATTGGGACATCTAATTTAATAAAGAACCATGAAATTGCATGAAACTGTAGAATCAGCACCCTCCTTGAAGTATGTTGTACAAGTACTTCGCAATTATGGAGAAGGAATAATGGATCTGATACTTTGCTACCATATTATAAACTTGCTTGAATGCAAAGTCAGGTGTAAAATACAAGTCAGTTGTACAGCTATAACTTATTATAGTCAGCGGGAGATTTTTTCATTGTTGCCTAAATCTATTTTTCTCTTCTCACTCCAAATCTACTATGCCACATCAAATCTGATAAACTGATAGTCTAGTATACAGCTAGGTCCTCAACTTAACAATCATTCATTTAACAACCAATCAAAGTAACAATGGCACCAAAAAGAGTGATTTATGGCTGATCCTCAGACTTATGACCATAGTAGCATGTCCACGGCCATGTGATCAAAATTCAGACATGTACTTACAACAGTTGCAGTGTCTCGGGCAGGGGGGTCATGTGATTGTCATTTGTGACCTTCCCAGTAGGCTTCTGACAAATAAAGGCCATGGGCAAGCCAGATTCAATTAACAGCGGTGTGATTCAGTTAACAACAGTAGCGATTCACTAAAAACCCTTGCAAAAATCAGGCTCAACTCACTTAACAACTGATGTGCTTACCAACAGAAATTTTGGTCCCAATTGTAGTTGTTAAACCTCTTATATATTCCCAAGGCCCACTGACCTTCAAAATATGTAAGAGAGAGGTAAGATGGGAACCAGTCTCAATTAAAAAACAAACAGACTTATCTATGCAATCTATCCTGCCTCAGTCTGGAGGAAGGATGCATTAAGAAGGTAAGAAGAACCAGGGGGAATTAAGGCATGTAACTGTAATAAAAAAAAGCAAACAACAGTAACCACAACAATGAAAATGTACCTTGCTTTCTCCTTCGATAACAATGACAGGCACAGCAGTGGCAGGCCAGCGATGCTTGGCAGGGAGGGGCTTATCACAATTCCATAAGACAATGATCTGAAATGTCAAGAAGGGTTTCCCGTTAGGAAAATGCTTGCAGAAGTCACAGCCTACAGAGGCTCAAGGGCTATCTTAGCTAACCGCTCTGCACTCTAGTCTAGAACTTCATAGCCAGAAACGAATGAAAAGACAAAAAGTCCCCCAATGAGATTTAATTCCTAGCTAGAGAAGAGGGCTAATTAACTTTTGTTGTTATTTTTTTTACTTCTGCTGACTAACAACAAGAAAGTCATCCCAGTTGGACGGGACTGCATTAAAAAGACAATCTGAAAAACATCTTGGACAAAAGACAAGAGACAAAGTGTTCACAGCTTGACATCAAAGCAGGGTGCTCCCATCAGTGGTGATCATGTTTTTATGGGAGCTTGTGTCGTGATATTGAATGCAGAATTCAGAGCAGCTTATTTGCCTCCATTCTCCAGGAACAAATGCAGACTGTCTTATAGAAATTGAACTTGGCTTCCTGGCAATCTCTGCAGGTTACCAGTCCTCCTGACTTAAAAGTCAGCATGGCAGAAGAGGAACAGAAGAAGTTGTTGGATTACGTTGTGAGTTTCAGTGTTTTCACACTTTTTTTTAGACTTTTCAAAGCCCAGTAAAAACTGTATACTATGCAGAAATGTTAAGAGGCTGAATTAGTCTCAGAGCAATTATGTAAAACTTGTTAATTGGCATAATTTAAACAGATTGCCGAACTTCATTTCTCTTTTATCATATAGCCTGATAATAAAACCAATCTAAACAGGAGAAGTGACCAAGTTTATTCATCTAGGATGGATTAGTTTAGTCTTGTTGCCAACAGGCTTTTAGCTCCATTTTTTTTCAAGGAGCGCTCCTGCATAAACAATTCTCATTTTGATATATTTTGTACTGGTATCTTCTAGTGAGGGTAGAAGGGTGAGTGGAAAACAGCATAAAATCCTGTATTCAGCAATAGACAATACCAAAGTTCAACTCAATGTAAGGCATATGCTGCCAAGTAATTCAGATTACAATGTCTCCTTAAGCTATGTACAGAGAGTAAGGATCACACTTGAGGATTGGGGGCTTCTGAAGGCCACTCAAGGGATGGGTGGTGATGTCATTGTATCCCCAAAATGAGTGAGTTCAAAATGTTCGTGGTGCTTCTTTAGGAAGTGGGTGGCATTTTAAATCTTAAAAGAGATTTGAGGCTTTTATTTTTATCTTTTGAAACTCACCACACTGGGAACATGAAGAGGTCTACCCCTTAATCAAAGGAAACCCAATGCAAAAAGCTGGCCGAACATTTTGGTTCTTCCTAATGAGAACCATGAAATAAGTGCTGGGAGGTTTCACATGCCATGCAGATCATGGACCATTCATTGCTCCATTAAAGCATTTATTCATTTTTAAAATAAATTTCAGTAAAAGTTTTACCAAGAACTTAAAAACTAATACAAACTAATAAAAAGTAAAAGCAGAAAAGAGAGAAAAGAAAAAGGAAGGAAAAAGGAAAAGTGCAGAAAGAAAGAATAAAAACAAACAGAAGCTTCTGATTTCCTCTGTAGCAAACATGAAGCATAATTATTCCATGATTACAAAAGAAAACTCACTCTTTCTATTATCCAGTCTTTTTCTAATAGCAAAAACACAAATCAGAAGTGCATATTTTTGAATTTGATGCAAAAACTCTATATTGGTTTCCAGTCAATCATGCATGAAGATACTGTTTTTTTTCCTCTAATCAAAGAATTTAGCTATCTTTGCAAGTTCCATCATCTTTATGGACTTTAACACATTTGATGTATAAGACGCTTTGCCAGTGTGGGTGAAGATAAATTGAGAGATGCCAGTCAAACTTAGAGCATCCAGTGAAATACGGATTTTCAGCCAATGCCTGGGAGTTTGATTGTATTTCTCACCTGAGCACAGTGTTGGGATTTGGCTACTGCAACCAGGAGTTTCAGCACTGGTTGAGATTGGGACACCAGAGGAGTAACTGCATGGATGACGGCGGTGAATTTGGATGGGGCCTTGACTCCTGAGAAGAAAATGAGAGAAAATGAACCAGCCCAATCATTTTAAAAATTCTAAAATATTTTGGTTGACTTTAACCCTCAACACACAGTGCACTAATCAGACAAATTTGTCTGAAATGGTATAGGGTTTCCTGCCTGAGCAAGAGGTTGGACTAGATGACCTCCAAGGTCCCTTCCAACTTTATTGTTGTTGTTGTTGTCATTGTTGTTATTGTTATTATTATTACTATTATTATATGCTACTGATTCCTTAAGAATGAACTTCTCTGAAAAGAAGACAATTTTGAATTCAAAACCAACTATCCCTTTTACCATATTCTGAGGCAATTAAGGTAAATCTCTCATCCCATTTTTAAAAAATTATTTTTGCTAAATAATTTTATATGGCCACCCCTCTCACTGAATGTGCTCTGTGTGGCACAGAACCAACAATATCATAGCTGTTGAAAAACCAAAATATATAAATAAAAGCAAGATTGCTGGAAAAGATTGCTAGTATTTTAAAAGTGAAATATTTAGGAAAAAAGTCAATCTATAAAGTTAATACATGCATCCAAAGAAAAATGATGCAGAATTTAAGGCATTTCCTTCTTAAAGGAAAAAAAATAGGTAAAAAAAAACAAAAATTAAGCAGAAAAAAAAAATCAAAACCTCCTTTTTTGTTATTGTGATGAACCTTGGAAGTAATAAATCAAATCATTAAAGTGAATGTTGGCATCCAAAGGAAAATGACCAAAATTTAAGGCAATTCTTCCTTAAAGGAAAAAAAAATAAGCAGGAAAACAAAAATTAAGCAGAAAAAATAAATGTCTCCTTATATCTCCCATCCAGAGTTATCTTGAGATAAGACGGGTGGCCTATAAATTTTATGAATGAATAAATAAATAAATAAATAAATAGTTAAATATTATTTAAATATGTATTTATTTATAAAATGTATAGGTCATCCATCTTCCATTTGCTATTACAATGAATCATGGGAATGGTGCCTCTTAACTACTCCATAATCTAATACCACCAACTTTTTCCTTTGAAAGACAGTGTGGTGGGATTCACAGGGACTCAGAGTTAAAAGTTTTTTTCTCACTAGTCTGGTTGACTGATGGCATTAAGAGAAGAAGGTCTATGGTGGTTTTCTTACTGGCACTGTGATTCAGGTTCAGTGCCCAAAAGCTCTGGCAGATCTAGAATAAAGGACAGTGCCAGAGAAAACATAAACAGGTAAATCAGGGTTCTTTTATTTATTTTCAAAGCTATTTGCTCAATTTGAATAGTTTTACATTTGATTTTATTCCCTATCCTTCCATTTTTCCTTAATCTCTTGACAAATAATGATGACTAGTGTACTGCTATGTGGGACTGATCATGAAAGATAGGAGGAAGAGCTGCAGACTAGACAACAATCTGATAAATAAAATCTGAGTTTGAAAGAGGGAGGGTAGAGAAAACATATCAGAAAGGGCCATCCTTAGTTTGGGGAGAGTAAAAGTAAGATTCTATTACTATAACCTGTGGACTTCAACTCCCAGAAGTTGAAGTCCCCAAGTCTTAAAGTTGCCAAGTTTGAAGTTGCCCTGCTATAACCTTACAATAAAGGTAGTGTTAGTACATGGTTGATGCTTCTTGTCTGGACTGTGGCAGAAAACTGACAATACCTTTGGTTGCAGCCTGTGGTCTTATGTGATTTGGTGCAGCTAGTCTATTTTCTTAAATTCCTACTCTGTTGCTAGAAAAGTAAAAGAACTTCCATTGAGAGCTTGTGTTCTTACATTGGTTTAGAGGGCCACCTTATTGCAAAGCTTAGATTCCATTTGCTTCTGACTGTTAGTTACACATCAGCCAGAAATGAGATTCATTTTCCCCACCAGTGTGGTTCTCAAGAGAGAACTACTTACCTAAGTTAGCATAATAGTAAGGGAAATCTCCCAGATATGATGAATACTGCGGCAGTACGAATAACCCCCCGGGATGTTTATTCCATATTAAACTGTTACGGGATATGTGCTTAAATATTCTGTCTTGAATAATCTGAAAAGCAAGAAGTTAAAACAATATTTAGGAAACTCTTAATGAGAAAAAAAAACCAGAACTCTTTCATCAAAGTCACTGAGTGACAGATTATTTAGAATTGGTGTGGAATCTTTTCACCACCCAGATGACCCACGTAGGTTAGGAATTTTACTTATCTCATGTATTGCTGCAGGCACTGTATAAAAACTAGGATGTAACTAACATCAGAATAATTCTAGTTTCCAAAATGCACAAATCATTGGAGAGACTGCTGGATTCATTCTGCAATTTTGCCATCGATATATAACATAAATACCGTGGTAGCTTCAGACCGAATGAGAACTATTTCTGAAAGGCAATGATTTTAAACCTAACTATTTCAGTTCTCCTTCCAAGACTAAAAAGAATATAGCATTATAGTAGTTTCAGAAATACAAATTGCATGGAAAACTTTGTAATGAAAGTAAAAAAATCAGTGACAATTAGTGTGCTGTTGTAATTTCATGATATTGGGACTTGAGAATTCCAGCTTTCCTTAATTTTACTTTGTTTTAAAATGAACACATTTGGTTCTCAAGATATCCTTACTAAAGTGGGAAATTCTATTTTCTGATATTTATTATGAGATGTTGGCACTTCAATGTGCTCTATAAATCCAGGATTTTCTCCCTAGTGAGAAAAGAAATGATGTTGCAAAAATCATTGAAAATTCAAGCTGCACAATGGAATATATACACTTGCTTAATTGAAATAAAGTACTATTGTATTTCTTTCTTTTTCGCTTAGATCAGTGGTTCTCAACCTTTTTAATGCCGCAACCCCCAACCGGTTGTAAGTCGAGGACTACTCAACTGGTGCAACACCGTTTGTAGAATGGGACTTTTGGCGGGCTCAGCAGGGTAGAGACAGCCTGGACAATTCCTATTGGCTTTTGAAAGCCAATAGAATTAGACTCTATTCAAGAGAGTCTATTCTATTGGCTTTCAAAAGCCAATAGAATAAAAGGGAGTAGCACAGCTAAGGAAAAGGAGAAAAAAAAATGGCGGACTGCGTTGTTTGGTGACCCCCGTGAAATGGTCGTTCGACCCCAAATGGGGTCCCGACCCACAGATTGAGAACCACTGGCTTAGATAGTTAGATGCTTTCTTTATCTAAAACTACTGCAATAACAGAGCATCTAACAAAGATCCTTGACTAAATCCTGAATTTAAGAAACATAGTTTGTGTTGAGTCCTCAGCTTAATGGCGAATAAGCACAGAACATCTCGTAGTGTCAAGAAGCCTTTATTGTAGTCTCTTCTGCTCCGTTACAGCTCTGAGGCACACAGGCCTCTCTGCTTCTCTTAAGAACGCTTCCCCGAGCCGAATGGCAACAATTGGTGCGCTCCGCGCCTTGCGCATGTGCGCAAAGCCGGCGCCAGCCAGTCTGGTCCCGGGCAGCTTGCAACTGCCTGGGACCTTTGCAACGTCCCGAGCCTGCCTTTGCAGGCTCAGGACACAACAGTTTGGTTCTGTATTTTGTTAGGATTCAGACCTGCTTAGTGGTTCTCATTTAAATCATTATTGATTCCAAGTTAGGCATCCATTGTTTATCAAACTTCAAGTACGGTATGTTTAAAAAAGAACAAATTATCCATGTGGTTTAGTGGTTAAGGCACCAGGCCGGAAACCAGGAGACTGTGAATTCTAGTCCCACCTTGGCCTGAAAGCCATCTGAAGCCTATCACTCTCTTTCAGTTCAGCTCACAGGGTTCTTATTGTGGGGAAAATAGGCGGAAGAAGGAGTATTAAGATATATTTGCTGCCTTAAGTTGCTTTTTGAAAAAATAAAGGTGGAATATACATAAATAAAGTCATATCCTGCCTATAGGAACGGAATGACTATATATATAGCTGTGTTTCTTACCACAATCTACAGAACTTTTTCAGTGCGATAACATAGCCTACAAGAATGAAGTGTGCGGAAAGAGGAAAGGACCATAGCTTTGGGACTTTTTTGAAGTCTACTTGGCATTTCTGAGGGCATGTTTCAGCCACTAGGCAGGGGTAGGCAACCTCAACTCTTTTATGACTCGTGGACTTCAACTCCCAGAATTCCTGAGCCAGCACTGGCTCAGGAATTCTGGGAGTTGAAGTCCGCGAGTCATAAAAGAGCCGAAGTTGCCTACCCTTGCACAAGGCCCATGCCTCTCATAAAAATGGTTGTTATTATGGACACACACAATCACAGGATTGTGCAATTAGTCTCTGCCATCTAACTCACTGCTTAATTTTTTTTTCTAAACAGTTGATTACATTTCCAAAACATCATAGGCTGCCGCTAATTAATTATTTTTTAAACATACCCATGGGGACTATGTAGTATCCAGAGATATTTCTATAAATAAAGATTATAATACAAGCTGGTGCTTTGCTCTGCAGCATGCCAGCTCCCAATTTAAATATTTTGTAATAGGAAGAAAAGGAAGAAAAATAAATGACATGGATTGCAAAGGTTTATGTGTGGTCACATTGGGGCCTATCTGCAACTTATTGTTTTAACCCAGGGGTAGTCAACCTTGGCTCTTTTATGACTTGTGGACTTCAACTCCCAGAATTCCTGAGCCAGCATGGCTCAGCTTGGAAACCTCCCCCTTTCCCCTCAGCATGGATGGCTCAGGAATTCTGGGAGTTGAAGTCCATGAGTCATAAAAGAACCAAGGTTGACTATCCCTGTTTTAACCTATGACAAATTATGTGTTTCAATAGCAAAATGCCCTAAATTTTAATCCCTACTCTTTCCAATGAAATCCAGAAACACCTTAGTCTGTTACTAAAAAAGCTAATACTGGCTAGTTAACAAATACTGTACTCAACATGTCCATCATCTGACTTAACACAAGATGGGTTAACATAGTTCACTATCTAATATTTTATTTGTCACTTTTTCAGTGACAAATAATTACCTCTGCGAAAGTGCCACATACAGCTGGCCTCTGATACCGCAGAGAAAAGATTTCTCCAAAGAACTAGACCATCATATCTAGGACAACTTTCCTTTTAAAACAGAACACCCTCTTATATGGTTTCCTACGACTCATAGCAGTTTAACTTTGAAATCAGCTCCCAAATGCCACTGCTGATAGGTATTTTCAGTTACAGATCAGGCTGACAAATCAAACTGATCCTGTTATTTGATGGATCAGGGACAATCTTAAAAGGCTGCACCAAATTTAACAGAACCATTCGAGCTCTGAAAACAATATTTAATCATTCAAAAGGCTGGGGAAACTTTGTAGGAAAGGATACAGGAAAGGACAAAAATAGAGGCAATTTACAGCTCTTTTGCTAGCCGTAAAAATTGCAAAGGAAAAATAGTTCCACACCCATCGCTAAATGCCATTTGCAATTTGCGCTCTTCATTCCCCCCCCCCTTTTAATCACTGCTGAAAGTTTGGTCTAAAAATGAATTTGTGTCAAACGTATTTGTGTCAATTTGGCTTCCCTCCACTCTTCCTGGGGACTCAAAAGCTTATTTTTGTAAACTTACTAATTAAGTAAACATGTAGCCTACATGGATTGAAGAAGGAAATTTCAATCCGGAAACTGGGCTGAATGAGATAACGATTTTTCCTCCATAAAAGGACTCTAAATTAAAATGTGTTCCAAAGGGTGCATTTCTAGCTTGATATCAATTATTTTCCTCGCCTCCCACACTCCTGGGTCATGAATCTAGTTTTAATGGGGATGAGGATATTTCTGTTGAATTAAGTCAATACGCACTGAATATGCAAATTGTCTCACTCTCCATTCTTTCAGTATTAAAACTGGTTTTATATAGGTTTTAATTTCACGAAGTCAAGCAAACATAAAGCAGGTGAAGATTGCATTTCATTTAATTCAGCTCCTTTTCCTTTTGTGGGAATATGAATTGGATAAATACCCTCACATCTCATTCAGTTCTACCTTCGTCCCACCAAGTAAAGGAACATCCCTATGGCTAATCAAAGATTTTTTAAAAAAGGAAAATTCCTATCTAGGAGGACTGACCAAGTAGTGAAAGATGAAGTCCTCAACAGGTTGTTTTAAAATAATATTTCCCAACCTTTTTAAGATGTGTGACCTTCAACTCCCAGAATCCCCCAGCCAGCAATGCACTGCTTTAGAAGAACCAATTTATATGAACAAGGTGTTATTTTGGTAGCCTATAGTACAATTTTAATGGATACCGAAGGAACCATAGCAAACATGTAGTTTCTTCCTAGCATATATGAAAATAGGTCATATCTATTGCTGAAACAAATATTAGAACATTTCAAATGTAACTTGTTTTGCTCTGCAGAACAGTGTGTACAGCAGCACACAAACTAGCAGATAAAATAGCAACTTCGTACAATCTTCCTGAGCAGATAGCAATAGTTAGTTGACCTTGTCTAGCCTAAGCTAAGCAAGATTAACCTTGGTGAATCACAAATGGGAACCACTAAGGAATCTGCAGACTAGACTGTTCAGAAGAAGCACTGGAAAAAGATTTCTTTATTTTGGGTGGAAAGAAAACAAACTGCATGGACGTATTGATAATCACCAGAGCTGAGTTGACTTTGGATCCTGGAAAATTTACTTTTTAATCTTGAAAGCTAACTTCTCAGCTGCCTCAGTCTGTTCTGTCAATATTAAACATGGCTTAGAACTGTATCTGCAGAGATGCCATCATCCCAGGAGTAATGTGTGGGTGTGAGGATTGGACCGTAAGGAAGGCGGAGCGCCAAATTGAAGGTTTCAAATTGTGGTGCTGGAGAAGACTCTTGAAAGTCCTTTAGACTGCAAGGAAATCAAATCAATCAATCTTGAAATCAACCCTGACTATTCTTTACAAGGACAGATACTGAAGCTGAAGCTCAAATACTTTGGCCATCAAATGAGAAGCGAGGACTCATTGGAAAAGACCCTAATGTTGGGAAAGATTAAAAGCTAAAGGAGAAGGGGATGGCAGAGGATGAGATTGCACTAGCAATAGCAATTAGATTTATATACCGCCCCATAGTGTTTTATAGCACTCTCTGGGAAGTTTTCCATCTCAGCATTATTTGCATACTGTTCCCAACAATCTGGGTCTTCATTTTACCGACCTTGAAAGGATTGAAGGCTGAGTCAATCCTGAGCCCTATTAGGATCGAACTCCAAGCTGTGGGCAGAGTTTGCCTGCAATACTGCACTTAACCACAGCATGACCAGGGCTCCTCTGGTTAGGAGTTAGGTAAGTGTTTAGATAGTATCATTTAGTGCAATGAACGTGAATTTGGGAAAACTCTGGGAGACGGGAGGATAAAGGAGCAGGGCATGCTGTGGTCCACAGTGTTGCGAAGAGTCGGGCATGACAGTGACTGAACAACAATGACGCCATCATATAAGCCTGTTATAAATATAGATGCAATATAATCTTGGGCCAGAATCAAGACTAATCTAAAGCCATTGCTTCTGTTGGATCAGTTCTAATCTGAATGAAATCAGTTTGAAAAATATTTTTACTTAACGAGAGAACTCATTACGGTGGTGATTAAAACTGAAACAACAGGAAGAAAGGAATTTGCTATAGGAAGAGAGAAAAAAGGAACATGTAGCTGACTCCAAATGTGGATGAATCAACAGGGAGAAGGATTTTTTTAGAAACTGAATTCAAGAAATTCAGTCTTATTGCATGTGCTACATGCAGATTTGCAGGAAAGCATTTTTCAACATTGTCAAAATCTCATTTGCCTGTAATCCGTGATTGCAAAGAATTGAATTGCTTTGCTAGGATCAAATATCAAACTAATACAGGAATAATCTATTCTCCTTTCTTTACACCAGGTCTTACAAAAGGCTGGAATCTGTGCTTATGTATGCAAGGCTGAATCATGGTTTAGCATTAACATGAAGAAATTGAGGGGAAAAAAGTGTACAGGTCAGGATCTGCAAAATCAAGCTAAGGCTCTACATAAAGGCACTTAAAAATGCAGCTAACTCATTTTAATTCTCAGTTAAGTTTCTGACATTTGCCTCCGTAATCTGAAATAGCTACTGCCTTAAGCCCAATTTTTTTTCCACCTTCCTCCAAACATCCATCAAGGACCTTGAAAACATCTTGGAGCAGAAAGCTTGCCTGAACAGAGGAAAAATTTTATAGTATCACTTTTTTCAAAACATGATTTTTTTTTCCAGGAAAGGGTCTTAAAGAACCCATTTACCATCAATGACAAGCAAGTTGATTTATTAGCTATCAAAAATCCCAAGAAGCCTCTAGTCTACGAGAGACCACATTTCCTAGCAACTTAAGATGGTTGCCAATTTGTCAGCCTGTCATTTCTTCTTACACCAATCCCAGAGACAAAAAACAAACAAACAAACAAAAAAACCCCTTGTTCCTTAGGGAAGAAAAGTTATAAAGAAGTTGAAAGTCTCTCCTTCATCCGATTCTTTGTAGAGGCGATTGCCTTGCTAAGTACCTGCAAAAGTCAAGACCAGACACAATCCAAATACGCAGAAAAGCCAGGCTTCAGCTCCAGCTATTATCTGAAAATGGTTACTCACCTCTAGTGTGGTCAATACAATCTTCTCAACAGAAGAAAAATAAGCCTCCCACAAGAACTGAGTCTGCTGTCTAAGTGCTAGGATTTTATCCTGATGGATAGACCTGATTGTAGAAGGGATCTGTAATACAACACAGAAACAAATACGACACTTGAAAACACCACAGTCTGGGAACATTAAGACACGAGGGGCCTTTCCAGACAATCCGCTTATAGCCCAATCCATTTAGTCTACAGTGCATTTGGCTCTCCTCTATGGCAGGCAATCCACATTGTCAGGCAATGCCAGCCATGATAGCAATAATTGGAAATTGAATTATATGGGCTGTTAATGCTTGTCTCTGTCCCATTTCTGACCAGAGAGCTCACACTGCTAACATTTACATGTAGCCCTTGATTTATAACCATTTGTTTAGTGACCATTTGAAATTAAAGCTGCACCAAAAATGTGACTTATGCATTTTTCACACTTAGTATTGTTGGAGCATCCCCATGGTCATGTGATCAAAATTTGGGCACTTGGCAACTGGCATGTATTTATGAGGGTTGCACTGTCCTGGGGTCATGTGATCACCTTTTGCAACCTTCTGACAAGCAAAGTCAATGGGGAGCCAGGTTCATTTAAGAATCGCGTTACTAACTTAAGAATTAGAGCAATTCACTTCACAAAAAAGTCGTAAAATGGGGCAAAAACTCAGCACGGATGCCTATAATCTTTCAGAACTTAAAAGGTTTTTCAGTCCATCTTCCAAGCTGTTTTCTCAAAAGCTGAAACCAGCATGTGCACCAACAATTCAGAAGTGAAGGTGCAAGGTCAAATTTTTAAAAGCCATTTTCAAATGATAATGTTCCATGTGATTGAGGCGGAAATGGATAATAATGTCATTAGCTGGACAGAGTTTGAACTAAATTAAAATTTATGGGAAGCAGAATCTATTTAGCAACAGCCCCGGCTCCATTGACTATCTTTGCAAAGATAGCTACAAAGTGAGGCCTTCAATATGAAAAAAATAAAACCTTCTTTATTCCCAGTTCACCATGACAATTTTTGGACTAGATAATAGAAAGAGAGAAAGATAATAATAGAGAGCCAGTTTGGTCTAATGGTTAAGGCACTAGGCTAGAACCCAGAGGATTGTGAGTTCCAGTCCTGCCTTAGACATGAAAACCAGCTGAGTATCTCTGGGCCAATCACCAGGAGACTGTGAGTTCTAGTTCCACTTTAAGCGTGAAAGATGGCTGGGTAATTTGGGGCCTGTTACTTTCTCTGAGTCCAGCTCACCTCACAGGGTTGTTGTGGGGAAAATAGGAAGGGGGAAGGAATATTAGGTATGTTTCCCCCCTTGAGTTATTTATAAAAAAAAAAATCAAAGATAGGATATAAATAAATCAGTTAATTAAAAAAATAGGGCCAAAAACTATTCATGGCATATTGGTGGGCTATGGATTAATTCTCAATAAGTTATAGTGCTTGTGTTGGCACAGTGGTTAGAATGCAGTACTGCAGGCTACTTCTGCTACCTGCTGGTTGCCTGCAGTTCAGTAGTTCGATTCTCACCGGCTCAAGGCTGACTCATCCTTCCATTCTTCCGAGGTTGGTAAAATGAGGACTCAGATTGTTAGGGGCAAAATGCTGACTCTGTAAACTGCTCAGAGAGGGCTGTAAAGCACTGTGAAGCGGTATATAAGTCCAAGTGTTATTGCTTGTCAATCTACAACAGCGGTTCTCAACCTATGGGTCGCGGCCCCATTTGGGGTCGATCGCCCATTTTTCAGGGGTCGCCAAAGGCAGCGATCCGCCATTTTTTGCAGTGCCGTGCACGCGCGCCGCGCATGGGGGGCGGCACCGTGCACGCGTGCCGTGCATGGGGGCGCCGCGCATGCGCACCGCACATGGCGCCGCCGCCGCGCATGCGCACCGCACACGGGGGCGGCGCGCATGTGCGTCGCGCGTGGGGGCGGCGCCCCCATGCGCGCGGCCCGGCGCATGCGCAGAACGTTTGTGTGACGGGGGTCGCCGTCACACAAACGTTGAGAAGCACTGATCTACAAGCACAAAGTAACTTATACTGATGAACTATCCATTCTGAATTCTCATTTTTTTATCTCAACTTAAATTTTTAATCATTTCCACAACTAAATTCCCTTCTCCTGTAAAACTTTATAAAAAATTTCATCATGCATATATTTTGGACCCCATCTATCCTTTGCATAACTATTTTACATTTTTTTTAATGGAGAACTGCTTCATAAAATTCAGAACCTGAAGGATAATGATTCTGGTTAATCTATTGATATAGGAAATACAAATTAAGCAGCTCTGGAACAAGTATAAATCCAAGTAATTTCTCCAACATTATGTCCCAAAAGTTCCCTAGAGGATGTTCTTGCTCTGTAAACTGACAACCCATTGGTAGCTAAGTGGGACCACATCCAGAGGAAGAAGAAAAAGGAAGAGACTACAAACAATCCCCATTTAATGACTGCCTTGGAATATGACCATTCCCAATTATGATGGTGATGTGACCAATTCCTGTAGCGTATTTATGATCTTTGCAGATCTATAAAGTAAAGAAAACTTGAAGTAAGATCACAGGCACAGTCAAGGCTTCACTTAGTAAACAAACAAATTACTGGTCTCAGATATGGTTGCTAAATGAACAACTACCTGTATCTAAGAGAGATGCCAAGTTTCTATGAACTGTGTGACCTGCATAGCAGACAGGAGAAAAAATGATTCCAATTTATTTGATTTGTATATTTTTGTATATTTATCTGATTTGTATATCTTCTTCTATCTATGTGAACATAGGCTCTAAAACAGGAAAAATAAATCCTTCTTGGTATCCCATTGATTGAAAAGGGTGTTATTTCAGTACGGCACCTATTTTCTCATTAGTCTGCTGTGTTCTTCCTAAGCCTTTCAAATGATTCATTTTTCCTGGACTAATTATGCGTAAAGCATCTGCCGATGTTTGCTTTTGATTTGTGCCATTTTGCATTTTCCGCTTACACATTAGATTATACCCAACAAAGGCTCTTTCACTCATACATATTCTCTCATGTTTTTGCCCCCAAAATGCATTCCAATAAAATACTCTTAATTAGAATACATCTGTTCTTTACATAGCATCATGATTTCATAGACAATGGGGACAGTGAGGAAACATCTTAAGGGCAACAATTTTCCTATGCCAAATTGTGTTTTGGCAAGAGATTCATTGAGTTGAAATCTGTAATGGTATGTGAGAATGGCCTTGGGAGACAGGAGGGAAAGCTACAGACTGGAGAACTATTATCCAGATATCTCGGTCCACAGAAGGAGGGAGAACATGGGGTTCATTTTAGAAAGGATATTTCCTAGTTTTCCAGAAAGTAAAAGGAAAGGGTGAGAGAAATACTTTCAGTCTTATATGATTCTGTTAATGTAACCTTACAATAATGATAGAACTAGTACTCCTGGTTGTGTTTCTTGTCTGGACTACTTTGCAGAGTTAACAAAGCCCTTCTGCTCAACACCCGGTTTTGCCTGCATTGCTGAGCAGTATCCCAGTGCTACTTTCAGCAAGCCACAGAGGACTTCCCAAAACAGGAGGCAGACAACATGCTATTTTCATTCACTGGTTTAGCAAGGGCATGAGAAGAAGCCAAGTTGTCCTAAGGAAGCTAGGGTAAGCAACACTGTTTTGCACCTCCAAGAAGAGCATTGCAAAATTTCGTTAGCATTTCCGCTGAAGCAGGAGCCATACTGGCTTTCCCATTATACTTCATGCAAAGGTGGCAACAATTAGCAACTCTGTTGAATGTGGAAGAAGGCCAATATACAATCATTTTAACAATCTGTAAATCTATTATTGAAACTAGGGTCACAAGAAAACTAAAAATGGGAATACGAGACCCACTGTCAAGCTTCCGAAGTAGATCATACAGGAAACATGATCAGATGAGCTAATTCTATTTCGTTGTAGGATGACAGTAACAGAATCTTGCAAGTCTGAAAGTACAAACTCCCACCCCATCCTTTACTGCCAGAAAGCTAGGGAGAGTCCCTTTGGAACCTCATGCTACTTCCATTATCCAGCTGCAGGCTATGGCCTCACTTATATGACCATTCCTTAGGCAGCAGTTCTTCCTCACCCTCCCCAGGGTCTTTCTCACATTACATTGCATGCATCAATGCAAGAAGGCAGCAATTACTCAGACAAGTCAACATTGAAGTGATCGTGTCTTCATTTATTGGTGATGTGAAGATCTTCCTAGACTAAACCAACACTGAACCACTGAAATGTGTGGGCTCTGGCCTGAAAGTGCTTCATAAGGAATATAGTCCTATAACTGTAAGGAGCAAGACTTATCCACTACCTTTATATGGAACCCAGACTCATTCAATGAATGAGATTTGAAGATATGACTGTTTAGAGCCAGTGGTTTTTGTTACACTTCATGGTAAACAATGATTTAGTGGAAAAAAAAATGTAGGTTTTCAGAGCTGCTGTTTACTGGTGAAATGACTTCCGGCTTTAAATATCGGTTTAGAGCAGGAGTTCTCAACCTTGGCAACTTTAAGACTTGTGGACTTCAATCCCCAGAATTCCTCAGTCAGCAAAGCAGGCTGAGGAATTCTGGGAGTTGAAGTCCACAAGTCTTAAAGTTGCCAAGGTTGAGAACTCCTGGTTTAGAGATTCATGAAGGAACATAACTACTTCCCTGCTCTTTTCTTCTTGGTTGACCAAGAAGATTATTTCAAAGGCCTCTGCCTGTACTTTACACACAGCTGCTGAAACAACTGCTGCTGAATCTCAGCTATGGACCAGCTTTGTAAATCAGTCTCAAGTTTGCTTATTTTTGGTTTTTATCTCTTTATGTAACTTTTTATGGCATCTCCTTGTTAATCTCAGTTACCATTAAACTTAGGTTGCTGGGTTCATACAACATAGCAACTGGTGATGAAAAATCTTAACCCATTTCAACATAGTTTTAAAAGAGATTACAGGATTAAGATTTTATTGATTTTTCTCATGACGATCTTTGTCTGGAGATTGTCAGGCAAAAGGTTGTTTTCCCTAATGTTCAAGTCTTTTGGTATCATGATATCCTTATGGATTATTTGACAAATCTAGA